CTTCTCTGGGACGGGCCGCTCCGGTGCGGGGCCGGAGCCAGCCGTATGCACGGGTGCTCGACCGTATTTTGCACACATTCTCGAATGGAATGGACATGTGCATGGCCACCACGGTTGCTCCAGCTTCGGGCCGTTTGTCCTATCTGGCAAGCAGGCCCGCAAGGAGCTCCCTTATCTTTGCCTTCTTAGTGAACATATACAGCTTCCTTAGCCCCGCGGACGCAAACGCAGCGCCGCCTGGNNAGCTCCCTTATCTTTGCCTTCTTAATGAACTAACAGCTTCCTTATCTTGCCTTCTTAATGAAAAGGACTCCTGGGCTTCGGTCGTTCGGCCTTCTCTGGGACGGGCCATGGTTGTTCCTTCCTAATCCGGCTTCGGGCCGTTTGTTTATCTAGAAAGGAGTTCCCTTATCTTTGCCTTCTTAATGAATAGATATAGCTTCCTTATGTTTGCTTTCTTAATGAAAAGGACTTCTGGGCTTCGGTCGTTCGGCCTTCTCTGGGACGGGCCGCTCCGGTGCGGGGCCGGAGCCAGCCGTATGCATGGGCGATCGGACCCATTTTGCACACGGTCTTCGAATTGGCCATGTGCATGGCCACAACGGTTGCTCCCTCCTAATCCGGCTTCGGGTCGTTCGTCCTTATCTAGGAAGCGGCCCCGCAAGGAGCTCCTTTATCTTTGCCTTCTTAATGAAAATATACAGCTTCCTTATCTTTGCCTTCTTAATGAAGAGGACTTCTGGCTTTCTGGGACGGGCCACCCCGGTACGGGGCCGGAGCCAGCCGTATGCATGGGCGCTCGGGTCCATTTTGCGGACTGTCCCCGAATGGCCATGTGCATGGTCGTATGCATGGGCAGTCGGACTCATTTTGCAGACTGTCCCCGAATGGCCGTGTGCATGGCCGCGACGGATACGTCTTCCAAATCCGGCTTCGCCCGTTTATCCTTCTTTAGGAAGCAGCCCCGCAAGGAGCTCCCTTATCTTTGCTTTCTTAATGAACACATACAGCTTCCTTATCTTTGTCTTCTTAATAAAAGGTCGGCCTTCTCTGGGAAGGGCCGCTCCGGTGCGGGGCCGGAGCCAGCCGTATGCATGGGTGCTCGGACCCATTTGGCGGATGGTCTCCGAATGGCCATGTGCATGTCCGCCACGGTTGGTCCCTCCTAATCCGGCTTCGGGTCGTTTGTCCTTATCTAGGAAGCAGCCCCACAAGGAGCTCCCTTATCTTTGCCTTCTTAATGAATACATACAGCTTCCTTATCTTTGCTTCTTGCTGAAGAGGACTTCGGCTTCCTTAGCCCCGCAAGGAGCTCCCTTATTTTTGCCTTTTTAATGAATACACACAGGTTCCTCACTGTGTCTTTCTAACGAAAAAGACTTCTGGGCTTCGGTCCTTCTCCTACCGCTGCTACTACTACTACTCCTACTACTACTACTACTACTACTACTACTACTACTACTACTGCTACTACTACTAATACTACTACCACTACCACTACTACTACTACTACTACTACTACTACTACTATTACTACGACGACGACTACTACTACTGCTACTACTACTACTACTACTACTACTACTACTCCTATTAGGACTGCGACGTGTAATCTGCAGCCGTTTTGCTTTCACTGCCCTTTGTACTTTTCGCCTTCGTGCTCTGCGCCATGGTCAATCGCGGCCGCGGTCGGTCCGGCACAGGGCGCGGCTCGCTTGGCAGCAAGCCATAACAACGCCCTGACGCTGGCGATCGACTGCCGAAGTTCAGTTTGGCTCCTTATGCAAGCGCTGATGGCTCGCCTTTCTTCTTGCCGAAGGATGTGGACGAGAAGACTTTGCTCAGCAGCAAGCACATCGCTGCAACACGCTCTCCTCGCAACAGCGAGGCCGCATGCCTTCGCCTAGGCGTGGCCTTGTCGGAATCTGCAGCCGTCACGGAAATGGGCGCCGAGGCTTTGTCTTTCTACAGCGGTGACGAGCCGAAGGTGTTCGGCATGGGCTTTGGCACTCTGGCAGACTGGTTCACATCCACGGACGGTACGGCTTTCCTCGCAGCCGCGGCAGCGCTGAACAAGAGCAACGGCCTTCCGGACCAGGAGTCCGATGTCGAGGCCGCCGTTCGAGGGTGGCTGCTCGGCTTAGAGAAACTGACTGCCTTGGAGAAGCAAGTGCGGCGGGTGGCGCAAGTCAGTGCGCGCACATATCTATGGGCCATGGACACATTGGAGCAGCTGGCGACAACAAACTTCCCGAAGAAGGCCTTTGCCCAGGTCGATGAGGCGAATGCGCTGCGAAAAATCAAAGCCATTGCGTCTATGTTGCGCAAGCCTTCCGACTCGAAAAGCCTGCGCAAGGCCATGGTGGCCGCGTATATGAAACAAATTTTTCAGAGCGGCCGCAAGAAAGCCGCCGCACGCCCTTTGGACGCCGACACGAGCCCGGAGGAGCGCGGCTCGAGTGAGACTTCTGCTTCGGCTGCTGCCTCCTCTTCGTCCGCGCCGCGCAACAAGGCGGGGAAGAAGCGAACGAGACGCACTAAGCAGAAAGGTGCGGCTGGCCGCCCGTCAAAGAAGACCTCAGCGACAAAGTCAAAGAAGCAAAAGAAGGAGAAGGCCGCCAGCTCCGAAAGCTCTCCCTCGAAAGCTCCCAAGACGCTGCGCCCGGCAGCTTTGACGTGCAGCTCCAACGAAGAAGCCACCTCGTCCCAGCCGGATGACGCGACGCTGCTGCAAGCTTGGGCGCTTGACAAGCAGACACTCTTTGCCGAAAGTCTCGCGAATGCTTGGTCCTCGAAAGACAAGCCGAAGGCTTCAGGGCAGCGCCTTTCGCTGCCCATGCTTCTTACCGTTTTGGAGAACATCCCGGGCAATATTCTTGAAGCTTATGGCTTGCAAGAGGTCCGTGAAGCCCTCAAAGACATGAGTCGCTTGCCGAATCATGCGAAGCTCGAGGAGATCTTCGAGCGTCTGCAGGCACTGCGCGACAAGCTCCACCTTCCCGACGTAGGCGCAAATGAATTTGCGGCAGAAGCCGTTGCTACGGCCTCCACGGCCGTCGCAGAGCCGGGGCATACGGAACTGGAACGTGTGGATGGCTGAAACCGGACTTTGAAGGAAGACTCATCGCTTACTCGACTTTTGGTCTGCCCGCGCAGAATGGGACCCTGGCGCGCGGTTGAGCCGCTCTTGCGCTGGATGAGAGCGGCGCGGTAGAGAAAGCTGTTGTTCATGTGCAGTTCACCTTCGTTGTGCCAAAAGTGTGCAGCACCCAGGTCGTCCAGTAGGGTTGTGCCTGTTATTACTAGTAACGGGAACTGGACGAGGACTCGTAGTGTACTGCGACTCCTACCACTGCTACTACTACTAGTACTACTCTCATTGCCACAACTAATACTACTATTCAACTACTGCTACTACTACTACTACGACGACGACGACGACTACTACTACTACTGCTGCTACAACTACTAGTGCTATTGCGACTACTATTGCTACGATTACTGCTGTGGACACTCTGCTTCCTTGCATTTGCTGTAGGAGCATGCAAATTTGTGCCCGCAACTTCAGCTCAAGCTCTTGTCTCTCGTTTGCTTCGCAGAGCCTGTCGCCATGCCGAAACGTCCAGCTGCTGCTTCGGAGGCCGCTGTTGCTGGCGATGCTGTGGCAGCCGCGCCAACCGCTGACGTCCTGCTGCCGCAACGCACCGGTCGCCGCCGGGTGCTGGCGCACGCTGCGGACGCTGGGCCTGACGCTGTCTTGGAAATGGAGCCTGGTCGCTCCGGAACATGCGACACAGCGCGGCCACGCGAAGCGGGCCGGTCCGTGCGCCGACCTGCAGGGCCGCCAGGAGCGATCATTAATTTCTGCCACGGCCGTGCAGACGCAGTCTGTCGCTTTTCGACGGCGACGCCTGGAGAGCGGGCTCGCTATCACCATTCATCCATGCAATGTCCTTGGTGCAGCGATGTGCTCCTTGAGGCCGCCTTGGATACGCAGCGTGGCCGCAGTCGAATGAGCCGCTCCCTACGCTACTTCTGGGACCACGACAAAGCTGTCTACCAGAGCGCCGTGCAGCGCCTGCCCGAGAGTGCGCGGCTGCACTGGCCGCTGCAGTGCCTCGGCTTGCCGCCTTCTTTTCATTCGGCTGAGGCGCTGGCTGCCGCGCTCGGGACCCCTCAGGGCTGCGGCCGTGTTTTGGCGGCGCTGCGCAAGCGCCAGGCTACGGACCCAGACTTGATGGCTGAGGCTCTTAAAGCAGTTCCTGCGCAGCATCAAGCAGACTTGCACGCAAAGCTGGGGCAGGAGCCTCGTCGACGGCGACAAGCCCGCGCCCGTGCTGCCGCTGAGACCGTTGAGCAGCAATGGGACCGTCTGCTCGCCGGGCGTCGCCGGCTTCGAAGTCCCGCCTGCCTGGACATAGAGAGTTCCGTTTTCGCGGAGCGCG